CCCCACCCCTTCCCCGCTTGTGATCTCATGTGCTCTCTCAAATAAATAAATAAAATCTTAAAAAAAAGTTTTGTGCTACAAATTCTACTATCAGAGTGATGGCGGGGGACAGCTGGCTGGCTCAGTCAGTAGCGCTTGTGACTCTTGATCTTGGGGTAGTGAGTTCGAGCTCCATGTTGGGTATGGAGCTTACTTAAAAAAAAAAAGTGATGGGAGAAATATTTAGAAATCATTTATTTGACAAGGAACTTATATCCAGAATATATAATTATAACTCAACAATAAAAAAGACAAATAATTAAAAAATGGGTAAATGATCTGAATAAAGTTTTTTCCAAAGATGATATATAAACAGCCAATAAACACATGAAATTATGTTTAATATCATTAGTCCTCAGGGAAATGAAATAAAAATAAAATAAAAACCTCAATTAGATACCACTTCATACCTACTAGGATGGCTACATCAAAAAAAGAGATAAAAACAAGTGTTGGCATAAATATAGAAAAATTGGAAGGTGTGGAAAATGGTATAGCAGCTTAGGAAAACAGTCTGTTAGTTCTTCAAAGGGTTAAAAAAACACCCAGCAATTCCTCTCTTAAGTATACACCCAAGATAAATGAAAATATACATCCACATAGAAACTAGCATGTGAATGTTCATAGTGGCATTATTCATAACCAAAAAAGTGAAAAGAATCTAAATGTCCATCAACTGATGAATGGATAAATAAAATATGGTATATCCATACAATAGAGTATTATTCAGCCATAAAAAGGACTGAAATACTGATACATGCTGCAGTGCTACATGCATAAGTCATTATGCTTAAGTAGAACAAGCCAGTCACACACACAAAAAATCACATATTGTATGATCTCACTTGTATGAAATGTCCAGAATGGGTGATCTGTAGAGTCAGAAAACAGATCAGTAGTTGCTGGGAGTTGGGAGAAGGGATAGGGAAGGAGGAGGAAGTGCTAATGGGTATGTTGTTTCTTTTTGGGGCAGTGATAGCTACACAACTCTGGGACTATATCCTGGATGTGGTCTCCACTGGTCCCTATGGGAACACTCTTTCCTCAGTCATTTCCAGGTAAAGCCTGGGAACTTTCCACCTACTTTCTCTCCATTTTAATTTTAAGGGTATTCAAGTGTCATTGGAGAAAGGATTTGGGCCCTTAAGTCCTACTACGATGAACTCATTTTCAACTGGCAACCTAAGTCTTACCTACTGCTTGATACCTTAATTTTTGTTAACTCATCTGCATGCCATAAATATTTAAGAAAAACCTTAGCAATTCTAAAAAAAGTTAGGTTAGATAGCAAGGAGAGAGCTATATATTTTTTAAAGGATTTTATTTGTTTATTTGAGAGAGCAAGCACCAGCAGGGGGAAGGGCAGAGGGAGAAGCAGGCTCCTCGCTGAGCAGGGAGCCCGATGGGATGTGGGGCTCAATCTCATGAGCCTGGGCTCATGACCTGAGTTGAAGGTAGATGCTTAACCGACCAAGCCACTGGGTGCCCCAAGAAGGCTATTTTTAAAATGGTCATATTTGAGTAATTTAGCTTCTGCCTTTGGCTGTCATTATCCTGTGCCCCTTAGTAAGGCCCACGGCCTTTTTTGGCTAAATGTATGCTTTTGATGTGTGATGTCTCAGTGTGACTTTTTTCCTAATTCTAAAACTTCTATGATTTTCAGGACATCTCTAAGTATTTTTCTAAATTGGTCTTATTTCTGCTATTATTAGAGTCTGTGTTTTAAAAAATTTCATAGCAGAATGCCTGGGGTAGCTCAGTTGGTTGGGGGGCCAACTCTTGATTTCAGCTCAGGTCAGGCTCTCAGGGCCGTGGGGTTGAGCTCTGTATGAGGCTCCTGCTCAGCAGGGAGTCTGCTGGAGATTCTCTTCCTCTCCCTCTGCCCCTCCCCTGCCACTGCATGTGCATACACGTGCTCTCTCTCTCTCCTCTCCCTCTAAAATAAATGAATAAATCTTTAAAATATTTCATAGTAATTATACCTTGGACTTGTGGCATTTAGTCCCAATTTCAAATATTCTACCTCATTGTCAGACTGTTTCTTATTTTTCTAATGCCTACTCCAAGCCAATGCTGTAAACCCAAAGGTGCAACATTAATAGAAGTATAATTCCATTCTCACTCGTCCCATATACATAGTAGAGATATAAGGTAAATATTGAAGATTTCTATAGCAGCGTGATCATTTTTTGTTAGTCTTGAATTGGTAGGAGAGATAGTGGAGAAAGGAAATTATTTTCCACCATATAATTCTAACCTTGGTGGTAAAGGCATTTTAATGGCAGATTTGAGATACAAAAATTGTCTGGTATTTATATAAGTTCTGCTAAATGCATAATTATAATTTTGTATATTGGTAAACATACACTTTGAAGAACTATATTTTTGTAGCTTGGTAAACAAGTAGTTCATAATGAAGTATGAATAATATAAATAGAGAAAATCAGCAGACTTACAACTTACTTTCATAAGTTATACCTAACGTGACCCATGAAGCCATACTACTGAAGTGCAGAAGTTGCTCCAGAACAAAGTTATTCTCTTTTTCATCTCGAATACTCAGAACATGTGATTTTGGATCTGTTAAATAAAAAATAGTCAATAATTTTAATAATTACTTATCTAGAACACTTTATTTTGATAGATTTAGAAAATTTTATTTCCCAGCTTAATAAACTCTAAAACAATACTGGAAAATAAGACAGACATGTAAATTAAAACTATCTCATTGTCCTGGGGCTCCTGGGTGGATCAGTCAGTTGAGCACCCAACTCCTGGTTTCAGCTCAGGTCATGATCTCAGGGTCATGAGATCCAGCTCCACATAGGACTCTGTGCTCAGTAGGGAGTCTGCTTGAGATTCTCTCCCTCTGCCCCTCCCCCTGCTTGGGCTCTCTCTCTTTCTCTCAAATGAATAAATAAATCTTTTTTAAAAAACTATCTCATTGTACTAAAATGAATAGATTAAGAAGTTTTCAAACATTTTGATGTTATTTTATTTTATTTATTTTGAGAGAGATAGCACATGGGAGGGGAAGGACAGAGGAAGAGAGAGAATCTTAAGCAGGCTCCATGCTTAGCCCTTCACAGATCTCACGACCCTGAAACCATGACCTGAGCCCAAATCAGGAGTCAGATGCTTAAGCAACTGAGCCACCCAGGTACCCCAAACATCTTGATGTTAAATTTGGTCTTAAACAACAGTGTAAAACTAGCAGCTGAGTGGAGAATTTAAAACATTGATTCACTTCACTTTTCCCCATTTAAAGCTTATTTTGAATTGGTACAAATTTAGCCATATTAATGATACACGGCCAAAGACTATAATAAACAAAACCTCTTGGATGGTCTATATGATAGATCTTCCTTTTCCTTAGAGATTACTCTTTATATTAGGGTTAAAAAAGTGTAACATTTCCCAAAGGTGTTCCTCAGGAAATTAGCAGGAGTTTCTCAGAAAAAGACTAGACGGATAAAAGCGTCAAACATTGGTTAAACAAACTTAAACTAGTTCATTTATGGCAGTACTTCTTAAAGTATATGCTGATGTACATTTGATAATGTCTAACAGGAAGCCATGGTGTATAGTATTTCTCAACCTTATTCTTTTTCTAAGGGCCCTTTTCGTAGACTATCTCTCAAGACTAGTTTCTAAACAGCACGCTTTTGGGAAGAATGGTTTGATATTTTCCATAGGAACTTCCACAGTTCGCGGGTCCATTGTTCAGCAGTCACAAATCCTCTGTGGATCTCACAGGGAATATCTGAAGAGTCCTAAGAACTGAAAGTGTGAAATACGCATTTCTTTTAAGCAGAGCCGCTTCTTTGCTTTTGACCACTTATCTGAGCTTTCGACCACCCAAATCCACCTATTTTCTCTTTGCCCACAGTCTAACTTGGTTTAACATCCAGTTCTCTGCTTGCTAGAGTCATTTCTTTTCCTTTGTAAGTAGAACTCATTTATTTATACATGTAAAGACAGACTAGCTCTTTAATGGATGGGTAAAGAAGTAATTCTTATATTCTCTATTTTAACTAAACAAAATTTTAATACTTTTTTAGTTGACAATGTAGAAATTAGGAGATGAATATTTTTGAGATCTAGTGCTAATTAGAAATATTTATAACACACCTCAGGTGAGATTTGTTTTTTAATGAACATATACATAATGGCCACATAAGATACTTACTCATTTTCTGGCATTTAGAATGAACTTCATCTGGTGGTGTTGCCGTATATTCAGTCTTTGCTATTATGAAATTGTAGCAAGAGTTCTGAAATGGTATCCATGGAGTAAATAGAACAGGAGATGGACACTGAACATTGTCAAGTGCTTTGACCTCTTTTTCAGTATCATCTAAAAAAAAGACAATGGTATGAATTCTAACTTTAGACATAAATGTTAAATCCTGTTCATGGTAATTAGGCTTGATTTGTAGGGAATATTCAGGAAGTCAATTAATAATAGCTTAATGATGCTTGTTCTGTTTATACTCAAATATAATGTGACCTCTTAACTGGGTTTCTGTAAGAAGGAATTTATTTAACACAATTTCTTTCCCCTGCTGTGGAGTGAGTGGGAGAATATAAAACATGAGATGATGTTAGGTGAAACGTAGTTTCTGTCTTCCCCTATCACCAAACCTGAAATACAAGGGGTGACCTCAGAGACGATACAAAGATATTAATAATGGGCACCTAACTATAACTTTGGAACTCATCTTTAAGTTTCTGGTTACTGATATCTTCTCTAATTTTACAGATACATCTTACTTTTTATTTATTTTTTTAAAGGTACATTTTAATGAAATACGTGATGTTCTAAGTTGTTGCTTTAATGAAAGCAAACAGAAATAGTTGAAAATCTGACACCCAGAAAATCTGGCTTTTCAAAAGAATTTTATGAAAAAGCCATACATTTAAGAAGATCCAAATATAGATATGCTCTACTCACAGCCAATCAAACAGATTTAATCTGCAGTAGATACCATTCCGAATCTCTCCCAGCTCACAACTCCCTCTGTCTGGAAAGTAACTGTATCTTCTCTCTACTGCAAAGGCACAAATGTGGGCCCCTGGCAGTTGTGAAACCACTTTCCTCTGGCTATAGAGATCGCATACCTTACTTAGTAGGGTACATCAGATTCTCTCTAAGAATTTGGAATTCAGGGATAGTCAATTCATCTCCAGTTCCAGCTATTATCGAAAACTACAGAGCTGCCATGTTTCACCATGTGCAGAGAGAAGCAGAAAGTAAATAAAAAGAAAAGTGCAAATCCATAGAGAGAAACAGAAGGGATAGGTGGGAGATAGCACCTCTGGGTTCCTGATTCCCTTCAGTTTCTTATTCCCATTCTCATGAAGCTCAGCTATATCCCCATTTTTGAGGATCTAAATTTCCCTTTTGGCTTAAGCTAGCTTGAGCTGGTTACTGTTACTTACAAACAAATGAATCTTAACAGTGGCTCTTAAAAAGAAACAGTAGTTGTTCATACAAATTACCAAAAAAATTCCCACAAATAGAGTTTCCTATAGGCTATAAACAAAATACATACAAAATGAGGCTAATAGGAACTTAAAACTGAAAGGTCAAGTACCATTGTCAGCTGACAAGAATAAAGATATGTCTAAAATAACAAATCAATGACAAAGTACCTAACATATAATAATTCTACCTGAATACAAATTTTCACAACAAATTTTGTTGTAAAAAAGGACATGATTTTAATTTCAAAACCAGATTTTACAAAACTACTCCCCATAAATCTCACTATTCATGAGACTGATAATAATGTAAGAATTAAAATATTTAAAATTAGCATACTTCCTGGATAGTAGCAAATAGCACCTGGCTGCATATGATCACAATCAGATGTTTTCCAGAATCCATCAGTGTCTAATATTACACAGTCTTCAAGTTGCCCATTATTTTTAGTCCAGCGACTAAATTGAACATGTTTCCCATCTGACCAACCAAAGTTGAGTTCATCCTGTAAGCAGCAGAAATACATGTCAAGTGGCAATACATCGTGTTATCCCTTTTGTATTATTTTGTCCCTTGTAGTCAATCTGATGACTTTTAATTTTACCTTATATTTAACACACAGTTACATAGCACTTACCATGCGCCAGGCAGGGTTCTAAGTGCTTTGCAGATATTAACTTACTTAATCTTCATAACAACCATATGAGATAGGAACTATTGTATCCATTTCACAGATGAGAAACTGACGGCTTGTCATGTGTGCCAAGTCCCATAGAATATATACTGCAGTGCTGGGATTCTATTCCAGGCCATCAGATGCTAGAGTCTATGGTCTGAGCCATTACACTGGGCTGCCTCACACATAATTGGAACTGTGGGTTGTTGGAAGTCAGAGAAACAACATGAAGTAGTGGAAAGAACATGGGCTCTGGCGCTAAGCTTATCTAGTTTGGAATCCTGGTTCAGTCATGTATTAGTTTTTTATCTGAGTTTGCCTTGCCAAGTTTCCATCCACTCAGCTATTAAATGGATGTGACACTTAACCTCAGGGCTGGAATTAGTGGGGTAATGTGTAACATAATGGCCAGCTAGTACACAGGAAGAGCTACATAAATGTTAGCTCCCTTCCTCTTAACCCTGACTCAGGCCTTGTGCATCTCACACTGCTGTTTTTACACTTGTCTTTATGATGAAGCTTCCTCAATCACTCTATTCTATTGTGCACTAAGTCTGTGAACATCTGTCCGTCTTTACATCCTGACAAGGGCCTGACCACCCACCTATCTTGAGAGAGGTACAGAGTCCAGGGGATAGATTGTGGGGTACAGACCTGTTTGAGCTTCCCCATGGCACTGCCAGAGCACCAGGCCTTATATACTGACCCAATGAACTAAGCTGTCCTGAGGCCCAAGGCAATTTTACATCACTGGTTTATTTGGAATATTGGGTAAAGGCCACACACAGTATCCTTAGTGAACTATAAATAGCAAACATGTTTAAGCTTCAACACCACTGTTTCATTCTGAAACTGTTTTCCACCAGGGTTCCAGCTGTAACTTTGTCGCCAGTTAATCCCTAAGCTCCTGGGCCTTGAATGTGGACTTTTGGCCAAGTGATGTTGCTTGTCCTTGGTATTACCCTAGATTCCTTCACCTTTGCTGCACTCACAACTAACCCAAGTACCTGGGCCTTTGGAACTTCTATTCCTTGTAGATAAATCCCTGCACCCTCTATCTCTTTGCTGAATACCCTCTCTCTTTATTAAGACTTTAAGTATCTCTTTACTAAATTCTTGACCTTAATCGACCTTAATTAAAACGTATCTTTTCTAAGGGAATAATGTCCTTTCAACACCCACAAGGGCAGGCTGTTTATTTTTCCATTCTCAGATACCAGAGGGCTATGAGAATGGAATAATAGGTATTTTTATCTCCTTTAGTCATTCCTTTAAGGTTTATGCAAACTCCCAGATTCCTTGCCTCTTTCTGACATTCACTTAGGACTTGGCCTCCTTGTTCCTCCCTGACATTTACTAAGGTGATGCCCCATGTCTTGCTCGTCCTCCTGGTCCTACCTTTGACTTATGGACATTCATGTTCATGTGGATGACTCACCAGTTCCCCAGCCTTCTTGACTTCCTCTGTTTCTATGTACTTCCAGTTCTACCTACTTAAGAGAGCTGCTGCCACAGCCACACTCTGGACTTTACATAACCCAGAACTGCCACAGGGCTTAGTTCAGGCCAACATCAGCTCCTGCATGAATTTCTACAAGAAAGCTCTAGATCCCTCACTTCCTCACCCATCCTCTGCCAATATAATTCTTCTTAAGTAAAAATCTGTTATTGTTACTATCATGTTTAAAATCTTTCAATACTCTTCCATTGCTTTCAATGTAAAGTTTTGTTTATTTATATCATGTTCCAAAGATTAAGGCAGTTTATGCAGATATGTAATAAACCTGTTAAAGAGTAAAAGGAAAAAGAGAAACATAGGTGAAGATTGAAAATAGGATAAGAGGGTGCCTGGGTGGCTCAGTTGGTTGAGTGGCTGCCTTCAGCTCAGGTCATGATCCCGGGGTTCTGGGATCGAGTCCTGCATTGGGCTCCTTGCTCAGCGGGGAGTTTGCTCCTCCCTCTCCCTCTGCCTCTCCCCCTGGCTTGTGCTCTGCTTTCTTTCGCTCACTGTCCCTCTCTCAAATAAATAAATAAAATCTTAAAAAAAAAAGAAAGAAAATAGGATAAGAAACAAGATCAAAATCCTTAAGGGGTGAAAAAAAGTTTAAAAATGGTATGATCCCAAAGGTCTTAAAAACATACATGTGTACATAGAAAAAACCTTGAGAGATATATACCAAATTATTAAATCATATTTATTACTAGGTACTGGGATTACAGATGATTTAAATTTTCTTTTAAAAAAACTTACTATAGGGGCACCTGGGTGGCTCAGTCAGATAAGCATCTGACTCTTGATTTCCTCTCAGGTCATGATCTTACGGTTGTGAGATGGAGCCCTATATTAGGCTCTACTGAGTGTGGAGCCTGCTTGGGATTCTCTCTCTCCCTCTCCCTCTGGGCTCTGCCCCCCCCCACCCCCCACCCTGACTCAACCCTATCTGGTTTTTAAATTATTTTCTTCCTCTCTTCTTTTCATTGGCTGGGGACACATGGCAGTTCCTGAGTCCCACTCAGTCTTTAACTAGAATAAAAAGAAGTGATCAGCTACATATGTCCACTAAAACTTTTTCTTCATCTAAACAATAAAGCACCAGATCTTTCAATAGTAGAAAGATGATGGCCACTAAAAATTACACACTTCATGAAATTTACTCACTGGAGTAAGATTTTACAATCTCCAGGTTCTTTTAGTCTGATAGGAAAAATGCTGTGTGCAACAAAAATTTCACATTCCATCACCCAATCCAGGCAGTTGGGACTGAAAACTTACGTCTTGACTGGAGAGTCCAATCCATAAAGAAGAGTTGTGAAGAACCGCCTGCACAGTTAGGAACGCCTGCTGGTATGGGTCCGTGATGCTCACCAGCTGCATGTTATCTTTCTGACACTCCCTTAGAGCATCAAACCAAGTCATAGGCTTCAGGATGATTTTGTACAGATTATTTAGATACTTTACTGTGTCTGAAGTATTCTGCAAGGTCTGTTTGCTTTCAACTTCTGTGTTTAAAAAAAAAACACACACACAAAAAATCACTCACTTTGCAAGTCATGGGACGTTGATCTTCAAGTCTCCACAGTGAGTATTTCAGATATTACTTATCTGTTCATTTATTTTAGATTTTGGTTAGGAGAACTAGGTATGTCTTGCTGTGCACCTTAGGTAATATGTGTGAGCCACAAAATTTGTTTTCTAAAATTAAAACAAAATTCTGTTTTTGTTGATCTGATTTAGGAAGGAAAAAAAGCAGCCTTCAATAAGATCACCATTTCAGGTTGGTGTCAAATACCTCCTTTGTTTAAACTCCTTCAACAAGAGAAAGTGTTAGGTGTTCCTTTCGAAGTTTTCATCTGGGAGAGCTCCAATGAAAGAAATGTACAAAACAGCCCATGAGAGGCTGTACTGAACTATTGCTTTACGGTACTTTTTCTGAATAAAGCAGTTCCTAAACAGTATGAGACAAGTGAGCATAGTTTAACAAAAATTTCTTTAGAAGTACATGGATTATCTACTTGAGGTTCTCATTAAATGACAAAGTTTTTTTCTTTTTAATCATTTGTTAAAAACATTGTAATCAATGAAAACAACGTAGTACCTTCTAAAAATATCTTTTTGAAAATATGGATGATTCTTATTTTTAAGCACACATTTTATTTTTATTTGGGTTACAGTAAGGTACACACAGTGATCCCTTTATAATGCTCCACACTTTTGTGTGTGTGTGTGTGTGTGATAAACTTAATTGTGAATGTTTACCAAAGTCAATTAAAAACATTACACTTTTTCTCCTTTCTCCAAGAAAGAAAGTAATAACTGAAAAATGTCAGAGTAGAAAAAAGAACAACCATAACTTACTATAATTAGGCAACTCCTATTAACAAATTCCAACTGATACTTAATTTTGGTATTTAATTAAGTAAAGCAATGATAATTGAAAAAGATCACATTCTATTTGAGATAATCTGACTCACTGAACCAATATGGATTTAGCCATGTTGAAATTTTAGGGAAGCTATGTTTACAAATTAATATTCATTAATATTCATTTATAAGATTTTTTGTGAAAAATACTGTATATATATAACAGCATAAAGTACCATAGTTACCTACATAATAATTTATACCTGAATATTTCTGACAGAGAGACAGAGTGTGGCGTTCACTGCAGGAAGTAAAATTCCATGTCCCAGTATAAGGCGACTTTTGGAGGTTGAGTATTAAAGCACAGTGGTATTGGGACTCTTCCTCAAAAATCTAAACAAAAAGGCAAATATGTACAAACAATCATGAAACTATAACTGTCTGAAAATCCTAGCAGGAGAACTTTATATTCCAAATCAGATTTTTCCTCCTGTAAAAAATTCCATTAAAGAGCTTACCATGAAATCACAAGAAAACCCTCAAAAATTTCCAAAGCATGGGCAAAGGGCAACTAACTTTGGAAATTATAAAACAAAACAATGGCAATATTATTAAATATAAATTCCAAACAGATAAAGAAAAACTGGTAAAAGATGAAGACACAATTATAGTAACATTTAACACTCTGCTATCATTCTTCACATTTCAAAGCAAAAAGGTAATGATTATTAATTCAATTTATTAGATGTTTATAAAAGTTTTATGATGACAAGCTGTAAATACTATACAATAGAGAACTCACCTTAAAGCTTTGATCCTATACTAGTCACTATAAAGACAACCATAAATAAAAGTATCTATTTAGATTTCATTCTCTGACCACAAATCAATAATACTACATATAAAATTCATTCAAAGTACAGTGTTCCTATATTTTTCGTATGTTTGAAACATATCACACGCTTAGAAAAATAAGACAAGCTTATCCTAGGAGCTACAGATTTTTTAAAAAAACACATACATAAGTGCTGCACAATAAACACTGAACCAAAAATGAAACAAAATAGTTAGGGTTAAGAATAATATGAGGACTATCACAAGGGAAATGAGTAAAAGTTTTTATAGAGCTAAATATGTATTCCTATTATTATTATTTTTTATTTGAGTATGGTTGACACACAATGTTACATTAGTTTCAGGTATACCACATAGTGATTCAGCTTCTCTATGTGTTGTTATGCTTCTCTATATGTTGTTATGCTATGCCCCAAATGTAACTACCATCTGTCACCATGCAATCCAATTACAATATCATTGACTATATTCTCCATGCTGTGCCTTTTATTCCTGTGACTTATTAATTCTGTAACCGAAGCCTGTATTTCCCAACCCCTCTTCCCTCTGGCAGCCATAACTTTGTTCTCAGTATTTATAGGTCTGATTCTGCTTTTTGTTTGTTTATTTATTTTTAAAAGATTTTTATTTTGTTATGTTATGTTAATCATCATACATCATTAGTTTTTTTTTTTTTTTAAAGACACATTTATTCAGCGTCATGATCAGACTATTACATTTAGCAATCAACAGCATGGGTGCAAAAAAAAAAAATCTACATTAAAACCCTTTGTTGGAATGCTTTACACTTTCCACAGAACAGAAACTAAAATAACCTGTTATACAATTAGTCACAAATACAGTCCTCAAATTTTTTGCCCATACACATGAGTATTGTCTAAAACATGTCTTCTTTGTAGCAGCTAGGCCCTGCCACCACTGTGCTTGGCTGAGTTCACAAATCTGTTGTAACCTGTAGCTTCCCTGTCACTTCTCTGGCTCTCCGCTCCTGCTAAGCTTTGTTTCCTGGCAGTAATTAGAACCTTCTGCCGCTGCCGTAGCTACTGCTGCTGCTGGAACCACCATAGCCACCTTGGTTTCGTGGTTTGGCAAAGTATTGGCCTCCACCACCATAAGGGCCAGAGCTTCTGCCTCCAAAATTTCCTCCTTTCATGGGTCCAAAATTTGAGGATTGATTGTTGTAATTGCCAAAATCATTATAGCTTCCGCCACCTCCAAAGTTGCTTCCATCATTACCAAATCCGTTATAGCCATCCCCACTGCCACCATATCCACCACCACCTCAACTGCCACCAAAGCCACCTCGACCACTGAAGTTCCCTCCACGACCAAAGTTGTCATTCCCACCAAAACTACCTCCACGACCACCACCAAAGTTTCCAGAACCACTTCGACCTCTTTGGCTGCATGAAGCACTAGCCATCTCTTGCTCAGATAGGGCTTTCCTTACTTCACAGTTGTGGCCATTCACAGTATGGTATTTTTGAATGACAATCTTGTCTACAGAGTCATGGTCATCAAATGTTACAAAAGCAAAACCTCTCTTTTTGCCATTGCCTCTGTCAGTCATGATCTCGATCACTTCAATTTTCCCATACTGTTCAAAATAATCTCTTAGGTGATGTTCTTCAGTGTCTTCTTTAATGCCACCAACAAAAATCTTTTTCACAGTTAAGTGGGCACCCGGTCTTTGAGAATCTTCTCTTGAGACAGCCCTCTTTGGTTCCACAACTTTTCCATCCACCTTGTGTGGCCTTGCGTTCATGGCTGCATCCACCTCCTCCACAGTGGCATACGTGACAAACCCAAAGCCTCTGGAGCGCTTGGTGTTTGGATCTCTCATTACCACACAGTCTGTAAGCATTCCCCATTGCTCAAAATGGCTCCTCAGACTCTCATCGGTTGTTTCAAAGCTCAAACCTCCGATGAAGAGCTTCCGCAGCTGTTCAGGCTCTTTGGGAGACTCTGACTTAGACATGACGGCGGTGGG